TCTATTGAAACAAATATTCACTGAAAGTATAAAGTAACACAGCAAAAACTAAGCAAAAACGAAAAACGAGGGAATTTTACTAAACCATTAACTACTATATTTGCAAAGGGATCTCTTACCGGTCTCTTCCGGGAGCAGGTGCGGCAGCACGTTCGTGGATCCAGACGCCGTGGCGGCCGAGTACTTGAATCCGCCTCCAACCTGCGCGAACCCCGGAGCCGCAAGGTGCGACACTTCGCAGCACACGGTTAGGACCAGCGTCAAGATCACAGTCGCCCTCCGTGGAGACCGCATGGCACAGCCGCAACCCCGCGCCGAAAGTCACGAGTCTTCGGCCAAAGCCCGGCAATCGCAACGATCGGAACCGGAAGAAATATTACATCACACAAACACAAGTTTATTACTTCATTTTACTCTCTGCTGGTAAATGCGTAAAGAAGTGTTAAAGAGGATTACCCACATATCAGTTTATTTAAATGCAAGCATCCAGTTCATGGTTGGATTTGTCCAATGCAGGAATACAACAATCGCACATTTACGATAAAAAAAAGCAATAAATAGCCGATTGAGCCAGAGACAATTGCGAAATCACAACAATTGAACGACAACGGGGAACGGTAAATCACAACAATTGAACGACGAAGGCGAGAGCGAAGCGAGAGCCACGAGGGCGCGCGGGCGTCGCGTGGCCAGGCGAAGCGCCGGCGTCCGCGTCGGGGAGGCGTCGCGACGCGCCGCGCGTGCAGTCGGGCGGCGACTGGCGCCCTCCGCCGGCGCCCCGACGCCCGGCGCCGACCCTCCTCCCTTCGGCGCACTTCGGGTCGCGCCGCCACCGACGCCCCCGCCCGCCTCCGCCCGCCCCCGCCCTCAAGGAGCGGCTCACCAATTGCTGCATTTCTGAAAATCAATCAAATGGGAAATTTCAGAAAATATTCAGGGTTTGCATTTGGTGGGAGGATTATTGGCTGTTAGATATTAGGTACAGGGTCAGATAAACGTTGGGGAAAATACTTAATCATTTTGATAAATAAATAAAGATATTGTCTGGTATCAATACTTTAAGTATTGATACTTAAAGTACTTAAGTATTGATACCAGACAATATCTTTATTTATTTATCATAATAAAAAGGTATCTACCTCACCAGCGATCCAATTAACTTAAACATTTACCATAGTCATTTTAGGATCGGATATCCAGAATTAGTGTATTTTTTAAAATATCAGTAACAAATTTTCAATTACAATATTTTTACAGTAATACAACTGTTTACACGTGTTCATTTATGCAAGAAGAAAGTAAAAAAGAAAAAGCTACTGAAACCAAAGTGTGTAACAATTAAAAAAATATTTGGATAGAATAATTTGACAAATAAATGTGGAATAATTCAATTCTCGATAAGCTTTTGGCCTTAGAATAGTGTATCTCGTGACTAACGCTGAAAATCATTTCAACGCAACGATGAATGCGTAAAACAAACGAAATATGCATGCGAACAAACAAACGAAACAACGATGAAAGCGAAAAACGAGACTAGCGCCACTGAGCGAATTGTACAGAAAAAGGAAATGCAAAGAGACTATATCATGGGGTATCTACTAAACCTCGTAGGTCTGATTGTGCACACATATCTTGCTTTTCCACTCAACGTAGCACAACCAGAAAGGTTCGTGTAATAAGAAAATATATTTTTTTACAAACAACCCAATAAAAATAAATAAACAGTTTTGTTTTATTGTAAAAATTATTTTAATTCACAATTTTTATACTGAGAAAAACGGAGACAGACGGATGTTTATTACAGAGTAATAAAGAGATAAAACGCTTTGTTCTCACAAATCGAGCATCCCGAGCTGTCTGGCCACACACGCGGTGAAACATTGTGACACACAACAAAGAAAGACAAAAATGGATCTTCGCCTGAAAATCTGTTTCACTGAAATCGGACCGTATCGTTTGCTGTCGACAGCATCCTTCAAACATTAATATTAATGCACGGCATTTATATTTGTCCGATTGAATGTTTCCTTAAAATATTTTTAAACAAATAATGAATATTCACAAAACATTGGGAAACGTTCTGTTGAAGTCGGTACCGAACATTTATTTATCTCTTCTGAGTTTAAATTGCCACTATTATTAGAAATGGAATACCGATATTTGTCACATGAAAAGAAGTGTAACTCCGCACGTATTTTGTGCGTTTATTCTTTTATAGAAATTGAGCTTGTTTGACTGTTGCTGTGGAAGTTTGGGTTAAAAAAAGTTTTTGGCACATTAGGGTCCACTGTGCTCTGAGGCACATTCACCCCTCCGAACTCGCTCTACCCCCCCCCCTGCCCTCACCCCAGCCTGCTCCGGCGCCCTCCCGCACAGAAAAATCAAATTTCGCCCGCTGAATCGTTCTGTACACAAAGAATTAAAGAACGTTAGTTTCTGAACCTCTTACTTGTAATTTCAGTTCTTGTCATTCTGTCTAATATTACCTCTGGTCTACCTGACCTTCTTCGCTTTCGCGGATTACCAAGAACTACGACCTCGGCCAGCCTTATCTCGCCATTACGTTTGATGACGCTTCAACCACGTATTGTTATAGTATATGCAGTATATGTAATTAGACTCCTGCCAACTCTTTCCAAATCGAATCGAATTTAACTCATATGTGCGGTGGCGTTGCGTCAAGCCAGTTCAAACTCGTTTTCTCAACGAAAATATGTGGCAATAAATTTAAAACTGGGGCCATACATTATTATTCAGTTTTTATTCGGGTTTGCTGACATGGCAGCTCCCCCTAAGTGCCCTTCAGCTGCCAATAACCATCCCTCCCCCCATCAATCACTTCGTGAAGTTGAAATGACGAAGAGAAAGGTATTCTTTGGATTCTGCGTCAGTTTTGGGGGGGCATGTATTTTACTTTCGAAATTTTACTTTTAAATTAATATAATTAAATAAAGAAATGTCGACCTGGATGGCCAAGGTTGGTAAGAGCGTGCAGCAACTCAGCAGTTCATTCCGAAGGGTCACGGGTTGGATACTCACCTCGGGCATGGTTGCTTGTCCTTTGTGTCTAATGCAAGACCGACGAAACGTGTGTATTTCAGGGGTTAGTACCGAGAGTGTAGGTCATATATTTCAGTTTTTTTAAAGAACAATATGATAACAGTATAAAATATGTAATTGTTTAAAGTTTTTTAACTGAAATCGATCAACGCGTGTATCAATATAGTAAATTAGATTTTTTTTCAATTTTTGTCAAACATCTAGTAATAGTACCCACATGGAATAATTTCGCGTGGGTAGTACTATACCCCGTATCCACCTCTTCCGCCGGCCCTGCTCCCATGAAGGCTGCTACATGCACAGAAATAAGAAAGCAGTCGAATTCTGTAAATTTGATACTTTTTACTTTCCCATATAGTAATATACGTGGCATAGTGAACGTTATGTATTGCTGCGGAAAATCGATTTCGAGATTTCAAGGGAAATACACGTTTTGGGATCCCCTTATACCGAAAAAGTGGTAATTTTCAAAACGTCCGTCTGCCTGTTAATCTCTGAACAGGACTAGCGCCTAAATTATGCATAGGTTTTATCAAATTGAAGAAACCCTGTCCATCTGGTCGAAGTTTTGAGATTTAGAAAACTTTGTTTAAAATCTGGGGTACTTAACATGAAGACCTAGTGACATTTTCATATATTTTTCAAAAACGATTCCCATTTTTTCTGTAAATTTCTTGTAAGAATATAGTAAAATATTCATAGAGCTGGCTGGCATCGGTCAGATTTTCAGGTTTAACTCTGAATTTTCGAAAATTTCAAAATTTTCCATCTTCTTAACTACAAAATTGAAGAAAAAGATTTTTCTTTCAAATAAAAATTGTTCTACGTTGTGAGTACTTTTATTAAGGTCAAGTACATTGTTTTGAGAATTTTAGTTTTCGCGCAATAATGCGAGCAATATGTGAAATTTCAAAAAAACTCAAAAATCGCTCCAAAATTTCTTTACACTTTTGGTAGGGATTGTGCTAAATGCACTCTATAAGATGACATGAACGCTATATCGCACTATTCTTTTGTTTTTTCAAAAATTACAAAAATATAAATTTTTGACTAGACTTACGTCGTTAATATTTACATTAGTGGCAATTTATTTACATTAATGTATTTATGAATATATGAGCTTTAAATAATGTTAGATAAAGTTTCCCGAAAACTCAACAGTTTTATGTGAAAATGAACTCAAAATTTCATCATTTTGAACTCTCAAACTCCATTTTCTCGAAAACTACTCGAAATGTTTTCTTCAAACTTTTCCAACAGATAGTGCTAATAGCACTGTTATATTTAATAGTGATAATCAATAGTTCTATACCGATATATCTATGACTCTATAAAATGTTGAAAATATTATTATTTATTTTTTATTTATTTACTTATGTATTTATTTATTTATTTATTTGACAAGTAAATTATTTTGCAAGGATTTCGGTACTGATGATGTAGACTGTTTTGTAGCTTTTGATATCTGCTGGAATATGCAATATTTTTTTCTGTTCGGTTAAGATGACACGATCTGAAGAATCTTATAGCATCTGGACATGTTTAAGTTCATTACACTACAATTACCAATGTGTTTGAATTAAATTATGTGAAATAATTGTGCTTTCTGCACTAAACAGTCTTCATATATACTTCATTCCAACTCATCAATTTCAACGAAGTATTGCTCCTTTTTCTTCTCGAAAGTTTTGAAAACTTTACGAACCTACTTACATTCTTCGTTACATTCTACAACTTACAGCATTTTCTGTGACAAAAGGTAGGTCACCATTGTGTTAAAAATATGTTTGGCAAAAGGCTATCCACTAGGTGACCTGTTATAATTTCACTGCAGAAAAAGGCAATGGGAGAGAAGGAAAAGTCTGGTACCGAGAGTTTTTTTTCTTGCGTAGAACTGGAAGAATTCCAAACTGTCGGAGAAAAAAGAAACGTATTTTGCTCTCATCTTAAATTTCAAAAATTTTCTCATTAGTTTTGACGACGATTTCGAAATTGAAAATGATGCTACCTACTATTAAAAAATTCTACAAACGTCCTGCTTTCTCTCCCTCTCTGTCTCTCTCACTCTCCCTTTCTCTTTCAGCCCATTTCTCTCTCAGTCTCTTTCTCTCTCAGTCTCTTTCTCTCTCAGTCTCTTTCTCTATCCTGCAATGCCCACTCGTCTTATCCTGCTCGGCTCCTCCCCGGTCATACAGCAACGTCCAGCAACAATCAAGGGTTAGGAATTGGGAACAATAAGATCGATTGGGAATTGCATTTAGCTAAAGCCCCATATTGTGTTGCAACGTCATCTAGTTACGACCCTTCCGAGGTTTAATTGATTGAATTGATACCTTCCGGGTTAGGTTTTGCTTTAGACTAGAAGTTGTTTGCAGATACACCTCTAGCAATTTCTAAGAAATTGGAATTTACTTTCTTGTTGGGAAAGACTCGAAAGTAGTGAAGTGATTCCTACTGCGCGCCTCTATTTATTTACCTTACAAGCAAAATAACCGCGTTGCCCGGGATTTCTTCATATCCAATCCTTATGAAAAAGGAGAAAGATCAATTTTGTATAAATGACGGAATTTAAAATTATGATTTTTAATGTAATTGGTTTAAATAAAATACTATATTTTTTATTTCGTTTTACTTTAGAGTAAATAGCTATTATATGAAAAAT